CTCCGCGCCCGTGGCGCCGCGGCGGCGGCGCGCAGCGGGCGGCGGCGGGGAGCAGCAGCGGGACTCGCAGCAGCCGCAGCCCCAGCAGCAGCAGCAGCAGCAGCAGCACGCGCGTGGCGATCGCAGCCTGGAGTCGTTTGCTGTGTTGAACCGGGAGGACACCCCCCTGGTGGCGTTCCTGGGGGATGGCGGCCACGTCGGCCTCGTCAGCCTGCGCGGCCGCCAGGCCGCGGGCGGCTTCAAGGTCAACGGCTCCGCGCGCGCCGCCGCGTTCAGCGCCGACGGGTCGCGGCTGGTGACGGCGGGCGGGGACGGGGTGGTGTACTCCTGGGACCTGCGCACGCGGCGCTGCCTGGGGGCGCTGCGGGACGACGGCTCGGTGGGGGCCACAGCTCTTGCGCTTGGCGGCGGCGGCGGCGGGCTCGGGGGCGCGGGAGACGGCTGGATGGCGGTGGGCGGCGGGTCGGGCGTGGTCAACCTGTACCAGTGCGGCGGCGGCGGCAACGGCGGCGGCAGCAGCGGCGCGTCGGTGCTTGAGGCGCCGGCGGCCGGGCTGTGGGGCGGCGGTGGGGCATTTGCTGCGGCGCCGGAGCGGCCGGCGCCGTTCCGCTCGCTGATGCACCTTACCACCGCGGTGGACACCCTGCAATTCAGCGCCGACGGCCAGGTGCGTCTGCCACCCGGCGCCTCACTTTCGCGGCGCAGCTCGGCCCAGGACGCCGCAGCGCCGTCTGTTGCCGCCCCTCTCATGCTGCCCTTGCGGCGCCGCCCAGGGTTTGGCAGTTGCCTCAGGCGCTTCATCTCCACCTTTCGACCCCCGCGTCTCAACCCCCTATCTGGCCCCCATGTGACCACCCATGTGACCCTGGTCTGACCCTCCATGTGACCCCCCACCCTCCCTTCCAGCTGATGATGATGGCGTCCCGCATGAAAAAGGACTCACTGCGCCTGGTGCACCTGCCCAGCGGCAACGTGTACGCCAACTGGCCCACGCGCCTCACGCCGCTGCACTACGTGCACTGCGGCGCCTTCTCGCCGGGCGGCGGCTTCATGGCGGTCGGCAACGCAAAGGGGCGCGTGCTGCTGTACCGCCTTCATCACTACAGCAGTGCGTGAGGCTGCCGGCCACCCCCAGCCGCAGGGTTCCAGGGGGCTGCTGGCCACCCAGCACCGCCAGGCAGGGTCGGCGGTGTCTGGGGCCGCCGTGTTGTTGAGCCGCATGTTAAGAGGCCCTTAATGTGGTGTAACCCGCGTTGCATGAGACGCCTGGAGGCACCCAGAGGGGCGCGAGCTGGTGACTCGTCCCGGACTGCGGCAGTTTTATTGTTGCAGGCACAATCTGTCGAGGGTGCCGGGCCCTGGGGTTAGCGCACAGCTGGCTGAATGTGCGCGTTTGACAATGAATGCTGCCACCTGGATTTGTAAGATGCAGGGCGGACATGGCGCGGCGGCCCCATTGGGCCGAGTCGTGATCACGCATGTTGCCTTCTCATGTCCTGGAGGACGATGAGAATGTGCACAGCTGTCCGGGGATTATGTGCCACTCTAAAGAGGACCTCGGCACGGAGGAAAATCTGTATTGGCATCCCGTCGACAACTGGGCATCGCAGGGTTTCGCCGTGACAACAGGATTTGACCCGCGGCGCATGCAAACAGATCTGGCAACTCAACCCATTGAAACGGCTCTTGTGTTGGGCCATTCTTCATATGAATGTGGTTGCTTTTAGCTGAATATTGATAGACGGAATCACCGCCCCAGCGTTGTGCGCCAGGGTGGGGGCAGAGAGGCCTCTCGCAACGATACAGTACACGGCGCTCCCCTGCCTTGTATTGTCTGGATAGCTTCTAAAATATTCCATTCAATTAAGCCCACAGACGGGGCCAGGCCGCCCGGTGCCACTGCGGCTATATTTCAGGCCGCGCTAGGGTGAGCAGCGGTTCTCTCAGGGCATCTATTACCTGAAAGGTGAGGGCATGATGTTGCGTTACCCTGGTGGCCTGAGCAGGGTCGCCCAGCAGTCTGCTCACAGGGGCCTTGGCGGGGTGCGGCGTCTCCCCAAGGTCGCCGCGCCGCCCAGCGGCGTGGCAAGCGCCTGAATGGGATGTGCCGAAGCGGGTAATGCATCCAATTTCAGCCGGTACACGAGGGAAATCGGCGTCGCGGCAGCCCCGCCTGCTTGATTGCATCTGTCGTTGGCTGCAAACGAGCAAAGCGACCAATGCGCCCCCTGCCGCCGTGCCTGGTGCCGGCCCCAGGCCCCCGGCGTGCTCGGGCCTGGCAGCTTTGGTGCGGCCCCCGGCCAACCACGCAGTGATCCAGCGATACCTGGGTCGCCACCACAGCGCGCTGCGCAGCCTGGCCCCTCAACAGCAGGCGACGCAAGGCGGCCTGTGGCGGCCATGATAAAGGCAGACGCGCCAGAACCGCGCGTCAGCAGCAGCAGCGCGGCCGGCGACCCGGGAGACAGCCTCACCGCCTGGCACGCGGGCGGAGGGGCCTCCGGCTCAGGCTCCGGCTCCGGCTCCGGCGGCGCGCCCGCTGACGGGCGGGGCGGCGCCGCGGCCGGCGGGGCGCGGTTGGACGCGGTGGGCGGGCTGCTGGGCAGCGACAACGACGATCAGCGCCGCCATCACCACCACCACCGCCACGGCCACCCCGGATTGGATGGGGAGGAGGACGACTTAGAAGGCATGGACGTGGCTGGCTGCGACGACGATGACGAAGACGACGACGAGGCGCCGGCCTGCAGCGAGGAGGGCGGCGACGGCGCGCTCGGCGGCGCGGCCAGCGGCGGCGGCAGCTTCGGCCGGCCGGGGTCGCCTGGGGTGATGAGCGGCGCCGTGTTCGGCATCCCGCAGTTTGGGCTCGGCGGCGGCGGGGCCGGGGCCGGCGGGGGCGCGGGCGGCGGGGCCGCCGCTCGCGGCGACAGCGCGCGTCCGCAGCTGAGCGGCACCAGCAGCCTGGCCCCGCCCAGCCCCGTCCGCGGCCCCGGCGGCGACGACGGCGGCTCGAGCAGCGGCAGCATGCAGCACGTCGGCGCCGCCCCGCCCGGCAATGCGCACCACAATCCGGCGGCGGCGGCGGTGCATCAGCAGCACCAGCAGCGGCAGCAGCAGGCGGCCGCGGCCACGGCCGCCGCCGCTGCGCAGGGCGGCGCCCCGCCCGTGTTCCGGTCCGAGTACCGCGGCGTGAGCTACGATAAGAAGAAGCGCAAGTGGCGCGTCCAGATCAAGGTGGCCGCCCTGGGCAAGAGCGGCGTCAGCGTAGGCTACTTTGACACGGAGACGGCGGCGGCACGCGCGTACGACCGCGCGGCGATCGGGCTGCTGGGGCGCCAGAGCTGCCGCACCATCCTCAACTACCCCATGGAGGGTGAGCGCAGCCTGCCCCTGCCCCACCCCGCCTGCTGCACACCCACTCACCCCCTCTTTTGGCTGGAGCTGCGGGGAGCTGGCGCTGGTCATCGGGAGGGGAGGGCAGGGCACAGGGTCGAGTGGGGGGTGAGGGCGGCCAGGGCATCACCCCTGCGTGCCACTATGTGTTGCGAGGGCGCTGTTCCTGTCACGTCGCACGCCCTTGTGCACACATGCATGCACGCGCACGCTGGCCCATTGTTGCCCCCCCCTTGCGTCACCCTCCCCTCCCTTCGGAACCTGGCCAGATTACGAGAACGACAACGTGCCGGAGCTCGTAGGTGAGAGGCCAGGCAGGGGGGCGTTGTAACCCCCTATGCAGGAAGGGGTGCGAAGTTAGCGATGATGCGGCGGTGATTGCGGCAGCCACAGGTTTGGCGGGTGGCCGAGGCAGCCCGGCGACTGGGGCTGCAACTCAGCCTGGGTGATGGCGTGCGCGGGGCAGCACGGTGTGGGGCGCTGCAGGTTGCGCGCGGCCTGCGGCTGGCTGCTCACGCCCCTGCCCCCGGCCGGTCCCGCCCCACCCACCAGGCAAGACGCGCGAGGAGGTCAAGGCCACGCTGAAGAGCGAGCGCGCCAAGATGCCGCGCAGGAGGCTCTCCAGCAGGCGCCGCACGGTGAGCGCGCCCCCTGACGCTGCGCTGCGCCGCGCTGCGCTGCAGCAGCCTCGACCCGCCTGAGGGGTGCTGCTCTTCCTCTTCCTGAGGCCAGCCGGTGGCAGCGCTGATGTCACCGCGCTTCGCCCCAGACCAGACCAGTTGATGCGCCAGGAGCGCTTGGGGCGTGCCTGATCCGCTTTGTGTGCGGCGTTCTTGCTCTGTAGATTGCCCCGGCTGCAGCACCCCGCCCTGACGGCCCCACACCCCGCCTGCCCTCCCTGGGGCCATGCGAATGCCGCAGAGCAAGTACCTCGGTGTGGGCAGCAGCAACAGGAAGAACCAGTGGCAGGCGCGCATCCTGTACCACGGCAAGGTGAACGAGGGGAAATTAGGTGCTGGCCGCAGAGGCGGTGCCAGCAGCGCGCATGTGGAGGAGGGTGGGAGGGGGAGGGGCGGAGAGGTTTGGAATGCTAGGTCGACGGGCCGCGCGAGACTCGGCCGTGATTGGCTGGGGCTGTTCTCCGTTGGATTGCGCGCCGTCTTGCGCAAACGACGGCTTTGCCTGCAAGCCCGTCTGCTGCGCCGCGTCACGCTGCCCGCCGTGCCGCTGCGCGCCCCCTTCTTCTGCCCAGGTGACGCACCTGGGTTACTACCGGACGGAGGAGGAGGCGGCGCGCGTGTACGACAAGGTGTCGATCAGCCTCCACGGGGACAACGCGCAGACCAACTTCCCCATAGACCAGGTGAAGGGGGGAAGAGAGGGGTGTCATCCCTTTGTCATCCACACACGCATGCTGGCGCGAGACCAGGGCACATCCCTCTTGCCTTCCTCGCACGTCGCGCCTGAGCTGTGCAGTGGCCTGCCCTGCCGGGCGCTGCTGTGGGGCCCTGGGGCGTGCTGCAAGTACTGCCGCGGCTGCAGCATTCGTCACCCTGAAACGGCTGCTGACGGCCAGCGCTGTAACCTCCTGCCAAGGCTGCCTAACCACACACCCAGGCACATGCGCACTCACGCACCCTCTTCCCCACGCATTGCCTCAGCCTTCTGCAACCCCCCCCTCCCCCCCAACCCCCACAGTACGCCAAGGATGTGCCGGCGCTGCAGCAGCGGCTGAGCGGGCTGAGCCGCGAGGAGCTGCAGCGCGCGCTGGGTGTGAAGCCCATGGACCGCAGCAGCAAGTACCGCGGGGTCGGCAAGAAGAGGGGGCGCTGGGAGGCCAAGGTGGGCTTAGCCTTGGCAGGGAGGGGGGTGCGGCAGGCTCAGCCCTGCGGTGCCGTTGTTGTGGCGTCGTAGGGGTTCTGGCCGGCGCGGTGGCCGAGCTGGTTTGGTTGAGATCAGGTCTGATGAGGTGCGATCGACAAGCCTAGGGCTGTTTTTGTGAGCGTACGAGGGCAAGCTGCGCGGCGTCGTCACGGTCGCTGCGTCTCCTGCCGACGCCCCGCTGCAGGTGGTGCTCAACCGCCGCTGGGCGTACCGGGAGCTGTTTGACTCGGAGGAGGACGCGGCGCGCGCGTACGACGGCGCGATCTGGCGCCTGCGGCCGCGCGACGCGCGGTCCTACGTCAACTTCAAGGACTCGTGCCCGCAGGACGTGGCGGAGGTGCTGCAGCGCGCCTTCAAGGTGCGCGCCACAACCGCAGGCTGTGCGCGCCCTCGCTGCCCCTGCGCGACGACCGTCGCGGTCCCCCCTTTGAGGGCGCTCTTCATCTTGAGACTGCCGGCTTCCTTGGGCGGGCCGTGACAGCCGTGGACCGCAACAGTACGTGCGCGGAAGTCTTCAGGGGTCGCCCCGCCCTGGCAAGGGCGCCGCACGCCGGGCCCCCAACCTGGTTCCACGCAGCAACATGCCGCACTCGGCCGCCCCCGCCCCCCCTTCCTCCCTCCCCCCAGGACCACCAGCCTGTGCCGCTGCACGCGAGCGGGCTGCCGCTGACGGCCGCGCCGCTGGTTGAGGCCGGGCTGCTCTATGATGAGGAGGGTGCCAGCATACGCACCTCACAGCACAGGATGGCCCGCATCGTGTCGGCTGGTGAGCGAGTGCTGCAGGGCCGCGGGCCGCGGGCCGCGGGGCGCGGGCGCGGGGCTGGTCACACACCTGAGGCGCAGGGCTCGCGCGTGCGTGGGGCGTGCGTGCAGTCGCGCGTTGCGCAGGCGTGGGCAAGCGGACGCGTGTGTGTGTGTTGAGGACTGAGAAGGGTTTGCCTGCTGCAGCGCCTCCGCGACTCGCGCTGGATGGTGGATCAGCCGCGCAACTCTGCAGCACTGTGTGCATGTATGTATGAGGCAGTGCGTGTGGATCATCGCTTCGAAACCAATACCTGGCTCTGCGCACGCAGGCGACCTGGCGACCATTGGTGACGTGGTGGCGGCCACCAGCAGCGACCCCTCTGGCGCCCAGGACGCCTCATGCGCCGCCAGCGGCGGCACACCCACCGCCGACGCGCGCGGCGCGGGCGTGCGGTTGGCGCCGTTCGCCGGCGCTTCGCCGGTTGATCAGCAGCAGCAGCTGCTGCGGCAGCAACAGCAGCAGCAGCAGCAGCTGCAGCAGCAGCAGCAGCAGCAGCAGCTGCAGCAGCAGCAGCAGCAGCAGCAGCAGCAGCAGCTGCAACAGCAGCGTGCGGTTGCGGCGGCTGCAGTGGCCGCCGGGGCGCCAATCAGCCTCCATCACCCCCTCAGCCAGGCGGCCCACCCACTGGGGCTAGGCAGCGGCGGCAGCGGGGGCGGCGCCGCCGTAGCAGCAGCGGCGGCAGCCGCGGCGGCGGCGGCAGGGGCGGCGCCGGCCGGCCTGGGCTTCCATGCGGAGCAACCAGGCCTGGCCGGCCCCGGCAGCAGCGCCCTCGCGCCCATCGGTGGCGCCGCCGGCGCCGCTGCTCTCGGCGGCCTGGGCGGCGGCCTCGCGGGTCTCCCCCTGTACGGCGGCTCTGCGCAGCACTACCACCCCCACCTGTCCGCGTCGCCTGCGTTTGGCGGCGCCGCCGACGCGGGGTCCCCCCACCTGCGGCTGGGCGGGCTGGCGGGCGGCCTGGGGCTGCAGGGGCCCCACCAGCGGCCGGGGCTCGGCGCAGGGGAGGGGGGCATCCAGGGCGTGCCCTCCAGCCTCGGCCTCGGCGCGCTGCCCGGCCTGCATCACGCGCACGCCGCGCACCAGCCCGGCGGGGTGGTCAAGGTGGAGGGCGGCTACTGGGGCTCAGACCACCTGGTGGGCGCGCGGCGTCGGGCCTGCTTGTTCTTTTTGGGTATGGGGTTTTCTCAGGGTACGATGGGGTTAGCCTGCTGCTCGCCGGCCACCGCCTGCCGTCACCCTTTTTGCGATCGCCGAGGTTGTTGCGTGGTGACGGCTGCGGCGAGTGATTCGGTGGTGCGACATGCCTGGGCTTGTCCCTCGCCCCTGCTGAACCCCTCCACCACCACCGCCGCCACCACTTGTGCGTGTCCCAACGTGCAGGCCTCCAACGGCGGCGCCGCGGTGGCGGCGGTCGCCTCGATCGGGCGCTCGCGCTCCATCGGCAGCTTTGCGCTGAGCGGGGGCGACATGTCCCCCCTGCACCACCTGCCGCAGCAGCATCAGCAGCCCACAGTGGCCACGGCCACCATGCTCCAGCAGCAGCACCAGCAGTTGCAGCGCCAGGCCAGCAGCAGCGACGGCAGCCCGCCCTTCGCCGCGCCGCACGCCGCCAGCGCTGCCGCGGTAGCCGCGGCTGCAGCTGCGGCCGCGGCGCGGCCGTTGCTGGTGCGCGTGGGCAGCGAGCAGCACCTCATAGCGCCGCAGCCGACGCAGCTGGCTCTGAAGGGGCTGTCGCGCATCGCCAGTGAGAGCTGCCTGGGCAGCATGGTGCCTCTCGGCCCGGGCGCTGGCGGCCTGCTAGGCGGCGGCGCCAGCGGCGAGGGCGGCGGCGGCGGCGGCGGCGCGCTGGCGGCGCGGCAGCAGTCGGTGCAGCAGCAGGCGCTGCTGCTGCACCAGCAGCACTTGCAGCAGCAGCAGGCGCTGTACAGGGAGCACCAGCAGCAGCAGCTCGGCCTGCTGCTGCAGCAGCAGCAGCAACAGCAGATGGCGCACCACCACCAGCAGGCCCAGCAGCAACAGCAACAGCAGCAGCAGCAGCAGCAGCAGCAGCAGCAGCAGCAGCAGCAGCAGCAGCAGCAGCGTGGCGTCCATGGCCAGGGTCACCTGTTGCTGCAGCGGTCGCACTCTGTGGCGGTCATGGGCGGCCTCGAGGCCATCGACGAGCGCGGGGCTACGTGCACATTCCAGGCGCTGCCAGGCTCAGTGCGCGGCGCAGGCATGGCGCTGGGGGGCGGCGCGGGCGGCCTCGGCCCGGGGCTGCCGCCGCTGTCGCCAGAGTTGATGATGGGCGGCAGCGGCGGCGGCATGGGGGCCCTGCCGGCGCACCTGAGCTGCGGCGTGCCGCAGGGCTACGGCGCCCGCACGCCGGGGCTGCAGCAGCACGCGCCGCCGGCGCTCGCGCTCGGCGGCGGCCACTCGCCCCTGCCCGCCGTGCCGCCGCTCGGCCTCAAGCCCGGCGGTGGCCCCGCGGCCATCGCGCTGACGGCATGGGCGCCGGGCGGCGCGGCGGAGGCGCAGCACGCGCAGCACGCGCCGCCGGCGCGGCCGCACTCTCCGTTTGGCCTCCACGGGTCTGTCCAGATCGGGGGTGAGGACCTCGACATGGCACTGGCCTTCCTGTCAGACGGCCCCGGCGGCAGCGCGCGGCCCTCAGAGGCGGGCGGGGACGGCGCCGCGCGCATGGACGAGACGGCTGGGTGACAGCCGGGCGGCGGCGGGGTAGCGCAGCGCCCGCGCCGGCGCCGAGAGGGGCGCGTGGCCCGCCCGCCTCAGTAGAGCGGGCGGTTGCGGCGTGACCCACCTGTGGAGCGGGCCGGCGCGCTCGTTAGGCGCGCGGCGTCGCGAGGGCCAGAGGGCTCTGGGGACGCGAGGGCGGCCGGCGGGGAGAGGGGGGTTCTGCCGCAGCAGCCGCGCGGCGGTTTGGGGCGGCCGCTGGAGGCCTCTGGTGTGAGCAATGGGATCCGTTGACGAGGGCTGACGAGGGAACTGGGCGGCAGGGAGCTGCCCAAGAGTGCCAGAGAGGGGTGGGTGTGCGACGCGTCTGAGTGATTGGGCCGGGCGACAACCGCACGGCCGGCCGAAGGGAGGCGCCCAGGCCCGCAGCCGCCACGGCCCCTGGGGGCTGCTGCCGCTTCGCACTTGAAAAGTTGATTCCCGCGCCACGGGACGGCTGATTCCAAACGTGAACTGTTTGACGGCTGCAGCAGCGCACGCTGCGTGGCGTGCGGCCGCTGCCAAGGGAAGGGGCGGGCCGCTCCCGCCTCCGGCTCTGCTGCGGGTGCGCCCTCCGGAATGCATTTTGCGCGCAAACCGCGCCCGCGCGCGCCTCCTCTAGCGTGCGCGACGTGCGGCTGTGCGCCTTCTGCAACGCACCTGCTGGCGCGCGCACATCTCAAAAGCGTGCGCGCCCTTTGCATTTGATACAGCACTGTTGTTGGCCCCCCCCCTTCCCTGGCGTGCGTCTGCCCATCGGCCGAAGGGGGGGGTCCCTGCCACGCGATGCCGCACGGCCCTGGCAGGCGTGGCACCCCAGCAGGCCACGCGCCACGCGCACACCACAATCCCCGGCACCCGCTCGCTGACGCAGCACTTGGAACCTCTTTTGCGGCACTGCGCCCTGCCGCCAAACGTACCCGCTATAGCGTGCGTTGGCACTACTATACCAAAGTGGCGCACGTGCGCGCGCGCCACGCGAAGAAGCGACCGTTGAAAGGAGCGCCCGTGCGCGCGGCCCTGTGGCCCGCTAAACGCGCCGCGCGTGGCTGCCTGCGCCGTGCCGCCCCGGCCGAGCGCTTGTGCGCGCTGCGCTGCATTCGGGGCTCTCCGGGCGAGCGCAATTCGAGGGTGACAAGGCAGCCGGCAGGTCGCGGCCGCCCTCGGATGCGTATATATGGGGACCCCCGGATGGCGGCCGCGCGGGTGGGGGCGGCCCCGGGCCACCACTCGCTGGAGTTGACTGGGCCTGGCGGCGTGAAGAGGCTCTGCCGCTTTGTGTCGTCCTTGCGACACCCCCCCATTGTTGATGATGCCTGCATGCCCTCATGTCGCCGTATGCTTGCCATGCATCTGGTGCCCGTGCCCGTCGCCAAAGGCGACGTCTTGCCATTGCATGCACAGACACAAAACATGTTTATAGATGGCCGCGGCCCGCCGCGCCTCGCGCGCAAAGCGCCTGTTGCGCGCTGAGCGTCGCGGTCGCGGCCCCGCCGCCGTTGCGTGCGCATCCTGCTGTGAATGCATTCGCCATTGCGGATACCACCCGCGCGGGCACCTAGGAGCACGTCACCGCGGGCCATCACCGCCGGTGACACCGCGCCTCACGCGGAACCCGCTGCATGAGGGCGGTCCCCCCCCCCACCACCCCCTCGCCCCTGCGGCGCGTCTGCACGGGGCCTGTGTGGTGGGTGTTCTCTTGCGACACAAGCACGCACGGGCGTTCAGGGGCACCAATGCGCAGTTGTTGCATGCTGGGTTGGGTGGGGTTGGCATGTTGCACCTTTCCATGCTGTTTTGTGCACGAACAAGCCAATAAGTTGACCGCCGGCCTCGTTTGGGGGTCGGCCAGGACTGCTGGTGACTTGCCGCGCCATGCACGTGGTGGCGTAGGCCAATGCCTTTTGTGTAACATCACATGCATCATCGCGTAGGCCAATCGCATGAAACTTCTGTCTGGGAGGACACGCCTGTTTTGCTGGATTTGCCGGATGCACAAGCCGCCCCTCTGCTCGTCAGCAGAGCACACTACCCGAGCTCATGCCTGCCGCACGCGTGCCGAGAGGCCGCTGCTGGTCTAATCATGCTCGCAGTGTGAGCTGCCTCAGGACAGGTCCAAGCACGCAGGTGCGCGCCGGCGGCCAGAAATCAAACGACAAGACTGGGGGACGGCTCGCTGCAGAGCTGGCAGCAAGTCTGGGCGGGCTGTGCGTGTATTGCAGAGCGATGTTCAGCGCCACAGGACAACAAACACGCACACTAGACTACACCTGAAGCACCTCTAGGACATGCCAGCATACACTTGTGCTGCCGCCCACTGCCTGCTTGAAGGCCGGCAAAGCATCGCTCAAGCCCTGCCTGGTCTGTGGGTGTGTGCTGACCGGTCCATGCCCAGTTTTGTTGCCCCAAAAAATCACTGCCAAGAATCTCGCCTGTTCGAGGCCACAAGTGCTTCTGTTCAGGGTGAGATTACAGGATTAAGTGGGATCCGTCGAAGCAAGAAAAGTCAATGAGAGGGGCAAAAAGGCACAACATGGGGAAAGAACTCCCCCACGTCGCAGCGCGCACAAGCGGCTTGCCTGTCCGTCACGCCTGCGGGCCGCGCATACATCGCAGCTCCTGACTTGAACATGGCAAACCCTTGCGGCCTGCGCTGCCGCCGCTGCCGCTGCCGCTGCTGCCGCTGCTGCTCAACCCCCAACGATGATCTGGTTGATGGGCTGCAGTGGAGGGGTGGGCAGAGCGGGTGGGGTTAGCTGTGATCACAAATGAGAGAGCTGGTCACTATCGATAACATAAAATGAGTAGTCGCCTGGCCCGCCCAGACGAGATCGCTCACAATGAAAATGAGCTTGATAAAGAAGCCGATGAAGCCCGCGGCGATGAAGCCCAAGGCCGTGATGCCGGTGACCTTCTTGAACTCTGTGAGCCAGGAGGCAGGGCGTGAGAGGGGCCCGGGTGCCAACGAACCGAGAGGCCTCTGCTGCTGCTGCACCAGGCTCACCCTTGCGGTCGGGCTTGGTGCAGCGCTTGACCAGCCTGTAGCTGCCCTTGGCAAAGTCCTTAACTGTCTTCACCACGCCCTCCGGAGCCTCCATGACGCGTGCTGCTGCGAGAGACGCCTTCCGGGTGGTTGGAGCTGCCGCGTTCTTGGAGGGTCCGTGTGGTCTAAAAACAAACGAGGAGTACAACAACAAGGTGCGGTGCAATTTGGAGGCAGCACATTAAGGAAAGGGTGATCAGAGCCTGGGCATAAAGCGCAGCTGGCGAGCAGCTGGCCTCCACACTCGGGTACAGCAAACGGTGGGCCAGGTCACCCAACACTGCAGCGCGATAAGTGCGGCACAACGTTACCAGGAGATGCGAGGACCAGGTCGGTGGATGACAGTCGCGCTGGCTCGAACCTCGGGCCGAGGTCAGCCTGGGTTCACAGGGTATTGCTTGGAAGCTGCGGCAGAGTTGACCGAGCACAAGCCCGATGGGGAGGCACTTGCATGAGGTAACACAAGGGCACCCATTGTGAGCTCAGGTTCGGAGCAAACGAACGCTCGGCCGCGGATCGTGCGGCCCCTGCTGGGCGGGACGGTCAGCGCCGCGCCACGCCTGCGACAGGGTCACTGTGCACACCTCGGGGTCAGGTGGAGGGGGCGGGGGGCTGGTGGGGTGTCATGCAGTATCTGCTTAGGGCTAATTCGATAATCAGCAATGCCAGAGGGTTTTCTTACAAAGCAAAAAGCACGCACAAGCTGCAGCATGGACCGGCGGAATTTGGGTGATGAAGATTCATAAACAGGAGCGATGTGAGGAAGCCAGCCTGTCTTGACATGTGCATGCAGGCCGCATCAAAAGCGCGTGGCATCAACTGCCCGCCTCGTACTAGAGCGCGCCACTGCGCCCCGAGAGGGCGCGCGCCTCGCCAAGCGGGCCGCCGACCGCCCCCGCGCCATCCCGCCGCTGCCGCTGCGTGTGCCAGCCGCTCTCAGTCGTCCTGGGACCCGTCTGCGCCGGCCAGCGAGAAGACCTGGTGGGGGGTGGCCACCACCAGGGCGTCGCGCACGCCGCCCCGCGTGCGCCCTGCGCCGGGCGTGAACTTCTCGTGCACAAAATTGGCGTCAACCACCTGCGGGTTGGTGAAGGGGG